TGCGCTGTATTCACCACTTAAGTGTGCGCAATCACAAGGAACTTGTTGTGGTTTTACGGGAACTCTTGGTACATACATACATACATACATACAAATAACCATAAGGAAGCATTAAATTGTGTAAAGTGACAGTAAAGACATTTATAATGATACAATGATTTCTATTTCAAATAAATGCTGCTTTTTTGAACTTTCTAATCATTAAAGAATCCTAAAAATATATATATATATCACGGTTTCCACAAAAATATTAAGCAGCACAACTGTTTTCAACATTGATAAATATATTGAAATAGAAAACAGTTATTTTAAATACTAATACTGTTTCTTTTATCAAATAAGTGCAGCCTTGGTGAACATAAGAGACTTCTTTAAAAAAAAAAAAACATTTAAAAAATCTTAATAACCCCAAACTTCTGAATGGTAATGTATATTTCGTATAGTCAATTTTTTTTGGATCATTCTTTTGAAGTGAAGTGAAAGTGACATGTGGCCAAGTATGGTGACCCATACTCGGAATTAGTGCTCTGCATTTATCCCATCCTAAGTGCACACACACCGTGAACACACACCCAGAGCAGTGGGCAGCCATTTATGCTGCGGCGCCCGGGGAGCAGTTGGGGGTTCGGTGCCTTGCTCAAGGGCACCTCAGTCATGGTATTGAAGGTGGGAGAGAGCGCTGTACATTCACTCCCCCCACCTACAATCCCTGCCGGTACCAGACTAGAACCCGCAACCTTTGGGTTACAAGTCCGATTCTCTAACCATTAGGCCACAACTTCCCCCCTTCTTTTGATGGTCCAATGCAACCCAGACAGTTTTTTTACAGGTTTCGTGATTATTTCTCGTACCTCATCGGCGCCGTGCTCCTGAAGCTCCTTGAAGAACTTGAGAGAGATGCTGACCATTACTTTAGTTTTGTCTCCATTGGGGTTGGAGATGTGGTAAAGCACACCATCAAAGTCTGTAGCAAAAACATAGAGAGATCCCATGTCAATCATTAGTAAAACAAACATTACTGTTACTGTAACATCATTAACAAGCATGTATAGTAATAAAACTTCTTATGAACCAAACATTTAGACAACAGAAACACAGACTTCCACTGCTGAGGTCATTCATATTTCGACCTTACCTGCAAACGTAACTTCTACTGCTTCAGGCTTGTTCCTAAACAAAAAAAAAACATTGTTTTGGGAGTTTATATGGTCTGCTATCCAGAGAACATTTTCCCAATGAAACAAAAAGAAACAAGGAAAACAAGTAAAGGGATAATAGACAGTCATCCAAGGTGATCAAGCAGAGGTGGTTTATTTTGCAATAATGACATTTTTCCACTTTTGCATGACTACTTGCCAAATCAATAATGAAATACTTATTGTTGAAATAATTGTATTAGTGTACATACAATATAAAAATGTCATTTATACAGTGTCGTCATAGACAATGGACATCATTCAGAAATATTTTACCTGAATGCCGTGACTGACCAATCAGAATCAAGGATCACAGTAATAATGTAAACAATGACAGAATGTAATGACAGAACTGTAATACTTTTGTGAAGTATTAAAAATTTCATTTAAATGCAATAACAAGCCACTTCATAACTTTTTAGTTGAACTGAAATAAAAATAACTAAAAAGTAAACGGCGTGAAAACAACTTCATAGACACTGATGAGGAGTCACAGCAGGCGCGTGGAGCACGCGCAATCACGTAAGTAGGGATGGGCGATACCCCTTATTTTGTTTTCGATACGATACCGATATTTTTCAATGCAGTATCGTCGATATCGATTGACATGAGGTAGAGTAAATGATGACAGAATTTTAATTTTTGGGTGAACTATTTAAATTGTAGCAGATATTCAGTGTTGACTTGCAATTAATATGAAGACATTAACCATCTGTATAATTAAAATAGTTTTAAAAATAGTTTTAGATGAAATAAAGCATTTGACATCACAGGAGGAGACTGATGTCACTGCCTGAAACGCCACGTCAACTACTCAATTACTGCTGGTTGCATGAGACTAGTAGGGATGGGCGATACCCCTTATTTAGTTTTCGATACGATACCGATATTTTTCAAGGCAGTATCGTCTATATCGATACCGATTCGATACTTCTGAACTAAATTTTTAAATTATGAAATTTATGAAATTATTAAATTACTAAGAGTAAAATGGGTAATGAAAGCCACTTTATGTTTAAAACGCATTTTAACCTGTTTAATCCCAAATTTTCCCAGACATGAAAATATCCAAATGATGCGAAATTAGTAACCCTTTGAAATAATCAATATTTGTTATTTTATTTTATTTGGAAAAGTATGTGAAAAATGTTATTTTATGGTCGGTCACAATTGTAACCGGTGGGATAATGTGTATACTGAACTAACATATTTCTGCAGTCTTAAAATTTTTTATATATCTTAGCCCAGCTATTTTAAACTGTTTGATCACATTCTAGGCTTACTATTATGCATAAAAAACCCTTATACAACATTGATAGGAATACTGAGATCAAATACAAAAAAATACAACCATCAACGTATTTCAAAATTGTTACTTTTTTGTAACATATATCATCACATTTTTATATTAGTGCTACCAGTATTACAACATTAATATTCTAACTTATTTGTAACATTTGAACTTTTGATTTAGTGCAATATTTTGTACTGCCATTAGGGACTGCCAGTGACCGGCTGTTGCATGCATTAAATGCAACCTTTTTATTCTGACAGTGTATGATTTCTATTAACATTACAGAATAGAACATGATCAATATTATCTTTCAACGTTCAATTTAAATAATTGTAATTGCACAAACTATGTAGGCTACAATTTCAATTTGTTTATTGTGAAATAACTCAAACATTTATGTTTTTATTTCTGTCCTCTGATAAGCATTGTTCAGGGCTGCTGTTCTTTAATGCTTTCTTATGATACTTTTGGGAAACGCTTTTTTTGTTTGAGTATCGATACTTTCGATACTCGCGTCAGTATCGATATATCGATACTTCGGAACGATACGCCCATCCCTAATCACAACATGGGTTCCGATGTGCTTGTACTGTGTCTTTTGCGACGGCGTCGAAAGCTTCTGGAAAGGAGAAGGCTGTGGGTTCCTACACGCAAGTTACTGGAGAAGAATGAAGTACACATACACGATGCTTCAGTTCTCGACAATCAACAACTGATCTGACAGACAGAACGAAATCAATCCAACACGAATGCGTGCGTTATCGTGTGATCTTATCCATGCAAGGAAAATATGGCTCGTGTCAAAGCATGTATGCATGCTTGAGATGAGCGATGTTTGATGCGAGTTGTGTCTCGGACAGGAAGATCTTCCTCTTACCCGTTGCTCGCGCTGTCGAATTTCAGGGTGAGAGTCTCCTCTATGATCCGATTGTTGATTTCCAACAAAATCATGATGATTTAAATGAATGTTTAGTGGCTGTGTGGGATTAAAAAACTAAGAGTAAATATTGGTTTACTACAATCCTACTACAATCGTTTTGGTTTTCCTGCTCCTACACCTCTGGCCGCTTCCGCATTGACTCGAAAGACCCGCGGGCTGCCCGCGTCACTGCCTGTTCGTGTGTACTAGTTATTTAAAGGGGTCATATGATGCGATTTCAATTTTTCCTTTCTCTTTGGAATGTTACAAGCTCTTGGTGCATAAAGAAGATCTGTAAAGTTGCAAAGACTAAAGTCTCAAATCCAAAGAGATATTCTTTGAAAAGTTAAAAGTCAGCCACGCCTACCTAAAACGGCTCGTTCTAACACGCCCCCACATACCTACATCACTATGTGGGAAGATTTGCATAACGCCGCCCAAATGTTCACGCAAAGAAAGAAGGCGTAACTTTTATTCTCACTGTAGTATTGTTGCCGCTGCCGCCATGTTGTGAAGGCACTGTGTGTTTCGTTGTGAAAGCGAAACTACTTTGTTTGGTCTTCCAAAAGAGGACGATATCTGCTTCGTCATACCTAGAGCTGATCTGTGCTGGTCGCTGAGGGAATACATCAACTTAGTGCTGTGGATCGCCGCATCGGCTTTCACCGTGGACGAAGCCCGGGGTCGTCACATGTGCTTGCCGCTCCTTCGTCGGATCTGCCGGCCGCTCCGTTCTCAACCTTACACCAAATACACAAAATAATGTTCTTTTTAGCAGCATCAAATACTTTACAGGAATTATGCTGTTTATATTTCATTTACAGTGATATTTCCAATTTCAAAATAATGTTTTTTATAATGATTTGTTCTTCATAGGTTCCCACACCACTTTTTGACCAAAGAATTCCCACGATGTTTCCAGTTATTCGTGATTACTAAATAAGGAGTTTTACACAAACATTGCACTTTAAAAGAGGGCTTTCTACGCTATATTCTTTCTCTCTGAAATATGCTAGCGCAAAAATGATGTCATATCTTATATTACAACATATAAAATGTTTTGAATTTATAGAAATCATCCTGTTTTGTGGTTTCTATGATTTTTTTAGACCCGGAAGTCATTGGTAGGCTACTTAAAGGTTTTCCATGAGTGTGCATATTGATGCTGATACTAATAGCCTACTTATACTGCAGTGTCGTGCTGTGACAATGTTAGTGAAAAAAACTAGGCTACTGCAAAAAATAAAAAATAAATATATGTTCTAATTTTATTTGCAAGGACAAACAGCTGTTTAGAAGTGTTGTGGTGGTTTGTTGTTTGTTGTTATAGTCATATGAGGAGATAATAAAATCCCACTTTAGCCCTGTTATTATACTGTTAAGATGTATATAGGTATATGTAAATCTGTCTGTATAAACAGCCTTATTATAGTAACTAAATTTACCTTGCCTTAAATTTGAGTGAGCTCAATAAACCTATGTGATTCATCTTTGATTGAATATGCTGTCATGCTTCAGATATTTTCAGCAAGTTTAGGCAGTGTGTTTGTATGACAGTTTTCCTGACTTGGGCCATCATGACATATTAAAAAATGCAGGTCATTTCTGACAGAAACCCAACATGTGTGTGCTTGTTTTGTGTCCTTGCATGGAAAATAACTGCCTAAAGATTCTTCACGGGAAAAAAAACTCCAGCATACAGGTTTGGAATAAAATGAGGGTGAGTAAATATTGGAAAAATCTTCCATTTTTGGGTGATGTATTATAGGATCCTGTTCCTATTCTCTATTATCCCATTGAAGTCCTTTTCATTTGGCTCATTTGCATTGGGTGGCATCTTTATTCTTATTGAAGTGGCATAAACATGCATCAGTTTTCACCTAAAATATACATTGTCTCATATATAAAGTTGTAACTTTTTAACTGTTAATTATCAAAAACCTTTTGATAATCAGATATCAAATGATTTCCTTCTAAGTAAATTATAAAATTAAGATAATGGACCTACCAGTCATCGTATCGTCTTTTTTTGGTATGGTGCCGTATGTGAGAATAATCCAGAGGATGAAATGTCAGAGTTGTGTGCTGAAGGCTTCTTTATACCCTTTGAAGGGATGTTGTTATATCCTGTTTGCCTAAGTCTCAAAGGTTACTTCAAGTGTACAATCTCAGCTAAGATGCTCTAATTTTTCTATTTATTATTCTCAAAAACATATTCACACTTCATATCTGGAATCGTCTTAGAAAGCATTTTTCCCTTTCACAGGAGACAAGCTGACATGTTTCTAACATCTGAATGAGATGCAGAAGATGAGGATGTTTGGCGATGTTGCTTTTATGCGGCTACAAGAAAGCAGAAGATTAGAGATGTTTGCTGGGGAATTTGAAACATCCTAATGGTCACAAGATCGTCACTCGTGTTCAGTGACATAAACATGATCAAAACACTAAAAGTGAAACTTTATATATAAATATATTTATGATATGAAGTCATTAGGCTATATTCTGGAACCCAATTCATAACCAAATGTATGTTGAGTGTGAATACTTTTGGCACATTTGGTGAGAATTTTATTTACATTTAAATGACAAAATGAAAAATGTGAGTACAACATTTTTGAATTTTAAATTAATGACTGGAATGTTTTTTTGATACAGTGATTAGAATTTAGGGGGAAAAGCATGAAGTTTAACGTTATCTCTGACGAAAGAACTATAAACTTTAAGTAGAAAACCTGACATATACGTAATATGGAAGTGATTTTTCAACATCGGAGGAAACATGTGAAGAGATGCGAGGCCACACATCATCATTTACCCACATTTATCCAGGAAATTGAGCAACTCCGTCCCACTGGGTTTGTCCTGAAGATGCTGTAAACAAGTGTGCTTCTCACATAAGCAGCCAGTTTCATTTCATTACCTATTTTTAAATGCAGGTGTTATTTGGGAAAAATCATCAAAATTAATTGAAGATTAGCAGACATTAAAAAAAAGAGGTTATATCTTTGACACTTCATTTATAAACAAGAATGTGGTGCATGGGATAATATCATCTTTTATAGAATATAAATCATACCAACTTATTATTTACAATTTATTAGAGGGAAAGTCCACCAAAAATGAAAAATGTAACATTATTTATTCACTCTCATGCCGTTCCAAACCTGTATGACTTTCTTTTTCTAGCCTACTTTTTCTTTACACGTTTGTAAAATCTAAATCAGCATGAATCTGATCCGGCCTCCTTTCTGCTGTATTGAGGACAGGAAGAAACACGCTTCTGCGTGAAGAATAAGAAGGAAAGGAATGCAAGATGAGATAAAAAGTGGTTGTATTACAAAAGAACGTTATATAAGTTCAGCATTCATATTAAAATATGGTAAGCACAAGATAAGTGAAAAACAGGAAGAAAATCCTAAATGATGTTTATTTTAATATCGCAACAATCCAAATATTGCCTGCAATCAAACATAAGTGATTGAATATGAACTCAAACATTTCTCATCCAATTCTTCCAAGTCCATGTATTTTATGGTGAAAGATCAAGAATCTTTTTAAACGATAAATGTCCAGTATGTACATATAGAAACATTCCACCCCCGTTCCATTCCAAGTACGAACATTTTACAGACAGAGCATATAGAAAAGTGTCCTTCTCAGTTTACAGTGTGTGTAAATGGCAGCGGTTTCCCACTGTGCCAATAAAAAAAGAAAGAGGTGAAAATTCTTGTCCGCAAACTCAGCCTCAGGCTGTAGTTTCATCACAGATCCACAGAAACTGATGCATGTTTATGCCACTTCAGTAAGAATAAAGATGCCACCCAATGCAAATGAGCCAAATGAAAAGGACTTCAATAGGAGGCCGGATCAGATTCATGCTGATTTAGATTTTACAAACGTGTAAAGAAAAAGTAGGCTAGAAAAAGAAAGTCATACAGGTTTGGAACGGCATGAGAGTGAATAAATAACATACGGCACCATACCAAAAAACACGATACGATGACTGGTAGGTCCATTATCTTAATTTTATAATTTACTTAGAAGGAAATCATTTCATATCTGATTATCAAAAGGTTTTTGATAATTAACAGTTAAAAAGTTACAACTTTATATATGAGACAATGTATATTTTAGGTGCTGTGACTAATCACCATTTCTTTTAAACTTTTCCCACACAATATTTAATCACCCTTCGCCTTCATTGTTTCATTTTATATAGTCCTGAAGTATCAGAATGAATTTTAAAAGTACAAATATGTCCATGATGCTCACTTAATATGAGCTAATAAATACTGCATGCCTTAAAAGCTAAATTTAAAGTAGTCTAATTATAATTGTTTTAATATTAAAATAGTTTAAGATGTGTCACACTGCGGGAACACTTTTTAAATGCCAACTATACCCATTTGGTAAATGCAACAAAAATCGCAGTTAAAATACCAAATGATACATTAATATTTATTTATTTATTTGTTTGTCATGGTGCTTTTCTTGTACCTTTTTTCTTTTCTTTTTTACATTTTTTACATTAATAAGAAATAAGAAACTTTTAATTTAATTAATTCTAAAAACAATTAAATAAAAAAGTAGCATGTCAGCATGAATTTTATTTATTTATTTATTTTTATTGTCATATGGGCAGTGCTTTTCTTATGCCTTTTTTCTTGTTTTTTTCCCCATAAGTATAAAACAATGAAAAACTAACTTTTATGAATTGTATTAATTCAAGAGCAAACTGATAAAACGTAGCATGTCATGTAACATGAAGTAGCATGAATATTTATTTATTCATCTGTCTGTCTATCTCTCATATGGGCAGCGCTTTTCTTGCGTTTTTTGAGTTTTCCTAGATATAAGTAATACAAAACTAACTTTTATTGTGAATTTAAAAAAAGACAAAGAGAAAAGCAAATGATTTACAAGGGGATTTTTTTTAGTGCTGTCAAACGATTAATCGCGATTAATCGCATCCAAAATAAAAGTTTTTGTTTGCATAATATATGTGTGTGTTCTGTGAATATTTATTACGTATATATAAATACACCCACATACAGTATATATTTTGGAAATATTTACATGTATTTACATGTCTATATTTATATTCATATAATTTATATTATAAATAAATACATTTAATATATAAAAATAACATTTTTCTGAAATGTATACATGCATGTGTGTGTATTTATATATATATACATAATAAATATACACAGTACACACACATATATTATGTAAACAAAAACTTTTATTTT